TCTATGTATTATTATGAATGAATAAGTATTTCCATCCATCTTCAAGGTTTGGGAAAGGAGTGGTTGTGAACAGGAGTCTCTTGCTATGCCTAGATACTACATTTTCAGTATCAGTGGTATCCTTCCTGTGAAAGCAGCTCTGTAAATGCTAGATATTTTTCCTAGTTCTTACCAAAAATACTTAGTGCAGTCCCATTTGAAAGTGCCATATCTTTGGCAGAAATCAGATAGGGTGCAGCCATTTCTTCAAATGGCATACAAATCTATCAAAGATTCAGATCCACATGCAGTCATTATAACCATAAGAACAGAATAAGGTGACAATATTTTAAAACAGAAAACTGTAATTGTTATTGTTTAGATCAGTGGTTCTTAACCTTTGTTACTCGGATGTTTTTGAACTGCAACTCCCAGAAACCCCAGCCAGCACAGTTGGTGGTCAGGGCTTCTGGGAGTTGCAGTCCAAAACTCCTGAGTAACCCAAGGTTAAGAACCAGTGGTTTAGATGATGCAAAATAGTACTGCCCTCTCCCTCAGTCCTGTTCATTCATTTATTAATTTTAACACCTTCAAGAAACTAAGAACTCTCTCACTAGCTAGTGTTCAGGAAGAAGGAAAGCCGCCTTAAGGAAGAAAAGTTGACTGGAATATTCACTTTAGCAAAAAGCACCTTTATTGCACTACTAAAGCAAACAGCAATTCTCATCTATACTGGAATTGCCTAGATTTTCATACATAGACATGTGCCCACCTACCAAATTTCTGTACAAAGAACCTGGATTGAATAAGGGATATTTATTAAGAAAAAGTACTATGGTGCAGTTTCTCTTAATCTAGTAAAATTGACAACAGCAACAAATGCTATAGTAAATTTGAAGCTAGATAGGACAGAAAGAAAAGCATTTTACAGACCTATCTGTATATTTACTGATGGAAATCTAAGGAGAGAGAATATTGCATTCAAAGTGGGAAAGCAATATAGAAAATGAAAACGTGGACTACTATCTGCATGAAATTCTATAAAGAAGAGCGCTTTAAAAATCTAAGTAGAAGTTGAGCATCATAAGGCAACTAATCCCTTTCCCACTCTTAAAATGTGGATATTAACCATACTATATTAACCATACTGGATTTTGAACTCCAAGGCCAAACTTAACCTGTTGTTCCTTTTATCTCTTGACTCCCTACTTTAGCATTCCAGTCCCCTATAATGACAAGAACATCTTTCTGTGGTGTCAGTTCTAGAAGGTGTTGTAACTCTTCATAGAGTTGATCAATTTCAGCCTCTTCAGCATCAGCAGAATGCATAAACATTCTATCATTTTTGAGATTGTATCCCAGTACAGCTTTTCCTACTGTTTTGTTGACTATGAGGGCTACTCCATTTCTTCTACGGGATTCTTGCCAACAATAGTAGATATGATAATCATCTGAGCTGAATTCGCCCATTCCTGTCCATTTTAGTTTACTGATGCCCAGGATGTCAACGTTTCTTCTT